CAAGCTCTTTGATACACTTACTTGGCAAACGAAAAGCCGAGAGCCAAAAGTTAGTGATACTTGATAGTACAGATTTTATCAATTGAAGCCTCCCCGCAAAAGATAAAAAACGACCAGTCCATGTTGTAATTCGTGATCTTATCTTCTCTAGAAGAGGAAGGTAATCTGATCGGGTCATACTCCTAGTGAGGAGAGGTAAACCAAGATACCGGACTGGGAGAGTACCCGCAGAGAAAGGAAAACGTTGAAGAAGATCTTGTTGATGCTCTTGTGAGTGACCTGCCAAGAACAACGTGGACTTCTCCAGACTGATTTTTAATCCCGAGACTGCTGCAAACTTATCAAAAACTTTCAGGATACCCTCAACTGAACGTGCACTTCCATCTGAAAAAACCAATATATCATCCGCAAAACACAAGTGGGTTAGTCTCATGTTTTTGCAACGAGAATGATAACCAATTTTGCTAGACATGGCCGCTTGATCAAGCATACGAGACAGAACGTTCATACAAATGACGAAGAGGTAAGGTGAGAGAGAACAGCCTTGTCTCAAACCCCTCTTGCTACGAAAAAAACCCGCTAGCTCCCCATTGACTTGAACCGAGAAGGATGCAGTACCAACACACAACTCAATCCAATGAATAAAATTATCCGGAAGATTCATAGTCTTTAGAACTGTGAGCAAGAAAGGCCACTGTACCGAATCAAAAGCTTTTGAGATATCAATCTTCACCGCACACCTACCCGAAATAGATTCTTTGTGGTAATCTTTGACCAACTCCGAAGCTAGCAACAAATTCTCCATCATAAGCCGATCCTTAATGAATGCAGACTGGTTTGGTGCTATAGAGGAGGGAAGTATTATCTTCAATCTATTAGCAAGAATTTTGGAGATTACCTTGTACAAGACATTGCAGCAAGAGATAGGTCTGTAATCTTTCATCTCATAAGCTTCAGTCTTTTTTGGGATCAAAGCCAGAATAGTAGTATTAATTCCTTTAGGTAAGAAGCCTTTAAGGAAAAAGGACTGAATCGCTGTAACAAAGTCTGAACCCAAAATATGCCATGTTTGCTTGAAAAACTCCACCGTATAGCCATCAGGACCCGGGGCTTTATTCCCCGACATCTTAAACAACACTTTACGAATCTCCTCCCCTGAAACCTGAGACTCCAACGCTTCTTGATCCACAGTGGAACAGCGAAAATCCACCAAATCTTGAATCTGATCCATTGATACTCCCTCATAATCCACTGGTTCCTGAGTTAAAAAATCCTCAAAAAACCTGACTGCTTCATTCTTAATATCTTCTTGACTTGTGGCTACAGAACCATCATGACATTTTATTTCTCGGATTGCATTTTGAGCTATTCTGGCTTTGACTGCATTATAGAAATATTTGTTGTTTTTGTCACCCACCTGAAGCCAATGGAGCTTTGATTTTTGCCGCAAAAAACCCTCTTCTAGCTCCGCAACATGATCCCAAATCTTGTAAGCCTCTGCTTCCTCTTCCATTGAAGAAGTGGTTGAATTAGCAAGCGTAACCAACTGCTTTTCACAAAGTGACTTATGTGCTGTCTCAACTCTGGTCGATAGATGGTGAAGTTTCTTACGGCCTAAGGAACGCAGAATCGGCTTCAGAGCTTTGAGTTTTTTTGCAAATCGATACATAGCAGATGTAGAATGAAAAAGGACAGGTGTGCTATCCCAAAATTCTTGAACTACAGGCAAAAAATCTGGCAGTGACGTGATGACATTCGAGAATTTGAATGGTCCACGTGGTCGACGAATTTCTGTTCCAAAGTTGAACCTGCAACGAAGATGATCTGAGCAGCCCCCTGGCTCAAAAACACAATAAGACTCTGGAAAAGCTCTGGTCCATTCCTCATTCACCAAAACCCGATCCAATTTTTTGCAAATTAATCCCTCATCCCGCTTGTTACACCAAGTGAACAGGGGACCGTGTGAACTCATATCTTTACGGTATACCCATTTCTTTTTAACATGTCAACTAGTAGATGAAAATCTCCATCGCCAGAAACAATAAGAACGTTTCGAGACAGCGAATCATTAACAAACAAACATGCAAACTGTTGAATAATTCTTCTATCCGCCATATCCATTTGTCTTTCATAGGGATAAACAATAGGTAGTAGTGACTCCGAAACTAGTGTCTTACATGGTAGCGGACACCGACACTCTTGAATTGGTGCGTCCACTAATGTGAAACCAAGAGATTCCAGAAAAAAAATTATATATGTATCATAAAATACCACACTAATAAGTTTTTGTTCCAGTACTATCACTAGTTTAGTTCTTCAATGATATCACAAATTTTTGTATAAAAATATTTGTTTCAACCACAATAATTACAATAAAATTAAAAATATATATTTGGGTTTCCTATTTCCAATCTAGAGTTTATATTTGAGTCAATTAGGTGCGTACCAGTTTTTTTTAAAGTAATTAATCATATACTAAAAATATTTTTGTGTTTGCAAGATAAGAGAGAAAAAAAATTAGATGACCAAAATACCCCTACATTAAAAGAGAAGAGATTAGTTTCAGCCTCTGCCTATTTCACGGCGGCTCCCAATTCAATGAATCAAGAGACAACTCCTTCGTCTTCTTTCCCATCGGATAGTCTCAAAAAATTTCGATGAATCCGACCGCCAACATCATCTTTCATCTTAGGTAACATCTAATCTCTCCCTTGTGTCTACACTAGACAGGTTTTTATGGATGAACCAGAAAGTATCTGACAGAAAGATTTCAGGTGGAGTTATTGTGAAGGCAGAAAAACAAATAACTCAAAATCGATTAACTGGTTGAAAAATCGATGAGAAAGAGATTACCTGAGAATCGGATGTGGTTGAGCATGATGGGGCTCGCCGGAGAGGCTGGGGAGCTCGTCGGAAAAGTCTGAAATTTCAGAAAATTTCTAGAAGATCGAGTGAAATAGGAAAAAGACCGAGTGAGAAAAATCAAATTACTCAATGGATTGAAAAAGATCTGAATATGGAGAAAGGAAAACAAATAGAAACGATTTTGGGGATTTGAGAAAGAAAAAAAAATTGTAATATCAATCAAATGGAGAAGAATACCCAGAAAATCAATCATTTTTCTTTAATTCAAATTATGAGAGATTAAGTAAGAGGAGAGATGGAGGAAGGGAGCACAGGAGAAAAAATGCACAGAAAAGTTGAAGAAGAAGGGTATTTTCGTCATATTTAGGGGTAAATTATATCATCAAAATTTACTATATTGCCACTTCTCCTTTGACTCAATTACTTTCAAGTCAAATGGTATAGGGTGCAATTACTCTTTATATTTTTCCCATTTTAATTGTTTGATTTATTTTAATATTGAATTTGTGGTAAATATAAAAAAAATATTAGTGATGGTATTTTTGGAACAAAAACTTGAAATTGTAGAATTTTAGATAATTACTCCCTTTTAAGATTATATATGGTCACAAAGTGCAGATAAAAAAGATCTAGTAATACAATTCATGGAGTGTTTGACGAGCATGTTTATTTTGTAGAGAGCTTTCATAAAAGTACTAGGTAAGAACCCGTATTGCACGGGTGAAATTTTATGTTATTTAATATATCAATTTCTATATATTAGAAATATATTTGATTAAATTATTATGAATTTTTAATAAGGTTTGAAAATTACAAAGTTGTTGTGTTTAGTTTTATCATAGAAATTTATAATTTGTAAATTTGGATTGGTGATAAATCAACAATATTGTTTCATCTTATGTTTAATTAATAGAAAATTATTAAAATTTGCTTTATGGATTTTATTGATTTTATTTGTTTTGTATGAAAGTTTAATTTTAGAAAATTATTTTTGTAGTTTATATACATTAAATTTTGGTGTATATGTTAAAATATTTGTTCACATTTAATGGTAAGATTTAATATTTGAATTTTGAGTAATTATTTCTGGTAAGTTTAGGATTCTTATGTGTTTGACAATTAGTATTAGAATAACCAAAATATGTATTATGAGGAAATAAGAGTGTTTAGTAAGAAAGGTTATATAAAGAAAAACAAAAAAATTGAGAATAATTATGAACTTGACACATAAACATCAAAAACTCTCTTTTAATCTATACAGGATATTGGTCTTTTGTCCTAAACTCACTTTTCTACCAATTTTGATTATTTTTTTCCAACCAATTTGAGTACGTGCGTAGGACAAACAATTTCTTGCTATCTTTGTTTTCAATTGTTCAAAGAAGAAATTTAAAGCATACCTATCTATATTTTTGTAAGCTTGAAACTGATCTTGTTATAAGATATAGTTTCAAAAACCAAAACACATCACAAGCTAAATATTCTTCATTAAAAAAAAATGGAGAGTGGAAGATCTTCTTATGCTTTTGTTTCGGTTTTGATCCTTGTGGTGCTTTTGTTTTCAGGTAGAATCTATTTCTTAGATATGAATGCAGATTTATGATCGTAAAATATTGTCCTCTAATTAAATTTGTTGATGGATTTTGCAGGGGAAGCAAATGCGATTTGTAAATTTGGGATCGGAAAATGTACATATCCAGGCAAGTGTCAACAAGATTGCATAGATAAAGGATTTTACTTTGGAGGAGATTGTGAAACAACTAAAAAGGGTCTAACTTGTTGCTGCATTAGAGGACTACTATCATCATCCACGAACAATTAATTGAACAACTGTTTAGGCTTCCAATTTGTATCATTAATATGTCCAATTCCTAAAATTAAAATCTCAATAAAATAAATGGAGTTATCTTTTCTATCTCGTACTACTAATTATCTTCTAGTCCACGGTTAATTGCAATGGATTAATGGTGTAGTGATGAGATTAAAAAGAATCTACAAAATACAAGTATTCAGCCAAATGTTGTTTTTAATAGCCTAATAACTAATGGGCCTTCTTCGGGTCATTTTAACCCAAGCAAATAACTAAAGGGCTTAATTCGGATCATTTTAACCCGACCCGGTATAAGTAAATCTATGGCGCTCTCTGGTTAAATCTTTTTTAGGGTTTCGTCAATCTCTCTCTCTCTCTTCCTCTTCTCTCATTGAAATCGGACGACGATGGGGAAGAAGAAGTCGAAGGAAACGGAGACGGAATCTCTAAACGATGAATCTCAGACTAAATCAGGTATCTTCTCTACTCTCTTCTCCGGCGAGGTTGCTGAAGGCGAAACTTCTGGCTTTGCGAGTCTCTTCTCCGATGATAACCCTTTCCGGCGAAAAAAACCTCAAGAAATCAAAGAGTCGTCAAGTCCCGATGAGAAGAAAGGAGATAAACGAAATGCAGAGAACGAAGAAGGAGATGAAACAGTTTTGCCTGTGAAGACGAAGAAATCTAAAAAGGAGAAAAAGCTAAAATCTCCGGTTACAGATTCCGGCGACGATGGTGTTGAGAAAGAGACGAATTTGGATGTTGTAGAAGAAAGTGGGTTGGTTTCAAAGAGGAAGAAAAGGAAGAGAGATGAGATTGAGAACGAATACGAGACGAAGAAGTATGGAAGCGTTGAGAAGAAGAAGGTTGGTGAGAAGAGAAAGAAAGCTGATGAAGTAGCTGATACAATGGTTTCAAAGGAAGGATTTGATGATGAGAGTAAGCTTCTTAGAACTGTTTTCGTTGGGAATTTGCCTTTGAAGGTTAAGAAAAAAGTCATCTTGAAGGAATTTAGTAAATTCGGTGAGGTTGAATCTGTGAGGATACGCTCTGTGCCAATTGTCGATGTGAGTTTCTTCTTATAGTTAAAGATGAGTACTTTTGGTTGAGGTTTTTGTGTTCAATGGTTTCTGATTTCATTTGATTTTTTTGATTGATTGAATAGTCGAAGAGGACAAGGAAAGGAGCTATTATGTTGAAACAAATCAATGAGAAAGCTTCAAGGTCTGTGTGTGAAATCTTTTGATTTTGAAGTTTCAGTGAAGAAAAGTTTTCTAATGTGAATGTTTGTGGAATTGCAGTGTTCATGCTTATGTTGTGTTTGAAACAGAGAAATCTGCTGAAGCTTCTCTGGCTCATAACATGTCTCTGGTAATATATCGCCTTTTGTTATCTGTGGTTGAGTTTAAGGAGTTATGTGTGGATTGATTAATGGTTTTATGTTATATTTAGATTGATGGGAATCATGTCCGCGTTGATAGAGCATGTCCGCCTCGTAAGAAACAGAAAGGTCAGGATGATACTCATTTGTATGATCCTAAGAGGACAGTCTTTATGGGTAATCTCCCTTTCGATGTGAAGGTTAGTAGTACTAGTCTTGGGCTCTTCTCCTGTTCAATTTGCGATAGTTGAACATAATCTCATTAAGTTTTGTTTGTTTCTAATGCAGGACGAGGAAGTGTATCAACTGTTTACGGGTAAGAGTAATCTGGAGAACAGTATAGAAGCTGTTCGTGTTATTAGAGATCCTCACTTGAACATTGGGAAAGGAATAGCTTACGTCTTGTTTAAAACACGGGTATGTTTAAGTTAGCTTTGATTGATCTTTTTAAGGTTTGAGTAATCACTAGTTAGATCTGATGAGACCTTTTATTTTGTTAACTATAGGAAGCTGCAAATCTCGTAATCAAGAAAGGATATTTGAAGCTTAGAGAAAGAGAGTTACGGATTTCTCGAGTCAAACCTGATGCAACGCCATCAAAGAGAAAGAGCAATCCTTCTGAAGCTTACTCGCCGGCCCAGAAAAGACTGCAAAAGGACAAAGTGGTCACACCAACTCCTACGGGGAAGGCTAATCTTTCATATCAAGGTGTAAGAGCTTCAAAATCTGGTGATGATAAGAAGAATCCTTATCAGAAAAGCCCCGCACAGGCAAAGATGAGACCTAGAGGTAGCAGCAGCAATGAAGACAACAAAAAATCTGGGAATAATAGTGCTTTGAAGCAGCGAAGTCAGAAGCGGCCAGCGGTTGCAGCAAGAAAGGCGAAAGCAAACTCAAAAGGTTCGAAAGAGAGCGGTGGTAAGCGATTTGCAGGGACTAAGCGAAAACAAGAAAACCGGACGCCTGAAAGCTTCTCTAAGAAGAAGAAAACGAAACGGTTTTAGGCGGTTTCTTTCAACCATTATGGTGAACCTCTTTCATCTTCCTTAGTTTTGATACTAGTCTGTTTTGTAATGTTCTCATATCAGTCTTGATATACTGTAATGTTGCAACAATTATGATTTCGTGCAAGTTTAAAAGGAAAAGCTATTTTGATGATTACTTAAGATCACATAAAACAGAATTTGTAGTTTCTGTGCTCGAACAGTAGAACTTGGCTTCTCATGGATAATCTATGATAAAGACTTCAAGTCTCTTATGAGTTTATCATTAGAGTTTGAATCAAAGCAACTTGAATAAAGTGAAAAGATTACTATTACAACTTGGGTTTGAACGATACAACAACAGCTTTAGAGGCATCAATCTGGTTCAAAGGTGCTGTCCCGAAAATTGCCTTTAATATGTGGATTAGTCATCTCAACAGATTGCCCACACGCCAAAGGTTAGCATCTTGGGGTCACATTAATTCTGCTGAATGTTGCCTATGCACTATCGCGACGGAATCGCGGGACCATCTCCTTCTTCTATGTGAGTTCTCTTCCCAGATTTGGAGTTTGGTTTTCAATAGGATCTGCCCTCGACAAAGGTTATTCTCCTCTTGGCAAGAACTTCTATCTTGGACCAGATTCTCTTCTCCTGCAGCTCCTTCTCTCCTAAGGAAACTTGCAGCACAAGTCGTGGTCTACAATATTTGGAGGCAGCGCAATAATCTCCTTCACAACTCTGAGAGGCTGGCTCCTAATCTTCTTTTCAGGTTCGTCGATCGTGAGCTCCGAAACATAATCTCCTCAAGAAGACGAAGGAAGCGGTGGCGAAAGTGAAGATGTAGCTGCAGTCTGATGAAGTTGTTGAATGAGTCAAGAAGTAATGCAAGATTTTGTCTGATGGAGTTTCTGAATGATTCAAGAAGTAAGTCAAGATGTGACTGTTTTTGTGTGAGTGTCGGTTTCTAGAAGGTTTGAGAAGATGTGCTTGGAGCATGTTTAGAGGATGAATCAAGAAGGAAAAAAGACTTAAAGAGATTTGGAAGACTTGATGAAAGTGGAGTTTGATGAGAAAAAGGAAAAGTATAAAAGGAAATTTACTTTTTCTTATGGATTAGAAATCTTCTCCTATGGTGATTAGGAAATCGTTTTGGCTATATAAGGAGGAGCTAAGGACGTCTTTGAGAGGCAAGAGAGCTGAGGCATAAAGACAAATCATTGAGAGCTTTCTAAGGGTGTGTGCGACATAGTTTCGCGGTTTTGTGCGACATAGTTTCGCGGTTTGATGCTTGTGTGATCAAACTTATTTGTCTGTTGGTGTAACGTTTGTGTGTGACGGTTAGTCCAGAGACTTGAAGAATTAAAGTCTAGACTCAGGGGGAGTTTAGCTCAGGGTTAGGTTATCCTGATTAAATCTAGACTCAAGGGGGAGTTTAGTTAAGGGTAGAGATTATCCTTAAGGTTTCACGTTATAGAAGGGAGCGGTAAATCAAGAGGGTTGTGCTTGTTTTACGCGTTTGCGAATTGGTTGTAATTTGCTTTCTTGTTCTAGTGAAATCGAAATTTGGACTTGGTCCCGAGGAGTAGGAAAAACCGACTTTGTTAACAAATTTCTTGTCTCGTTTACTTTCTGCAATTTACTGCAATTTATTTGACCTCATCCGCACTTACAAAAAGCTTATACTTCTTTGGATCCGATTACTTCCTCAAATCTTTCTTAACTCTATTGTAACCTTGTTTTTACTTTTTTTGCCAAGGTTACCCTTGCTTAGGTTTTATTTTGTGTAAAGCCTCAACTTTCATTTATGATATTTACATATTTAGCAAAAAAACAACAGCTTTAGAGAAGATTCGGTTTTACATTTGGTTTGAGATGTATTGTACGGAGAGGCTTGAGAAGCCTAGTGCTACATGAAGACTTTTCCTGGAGCAAAAAAAAAAGAAGAGCTTTGGCCTGATGGTAACCACAATCAAATTGTTCATCCCAATGGATAATGGAACTCGTTACCTTATATGACCCGAAAGGCCCGGCCCTGACCTAAAGCCCATGAAGCAAAGTGTCGCTGGAATAAATGGAGGTGTAGCAACAATGATGGAGGAGTCGTCAAAAAATTCAGCGACTAGAAATCAAAACACGTCCTCTCTTCCGAACAATCAGCGACTGAACTTTTGTAATAAACGTGTTGTCCATTCCTCATTTCCTTCTTTAATTTTCAGTCGCTGGAATCAATCCCAGCGATCAACAAAAGAACATGCCTAGTATATACAACATGAAATATAGAATATTGTTACATAGTATATGGAGGAAAATAATTGGTACAAGGCACGAAGACACTCCCACCCCAGCTCAAAAGCTCACTCGCATCATTGACAGAAGTGTAAGAAACAAGCTCAGCACCATTCAAAAGGTGCCCTATGAAAGTGGCCTCAAACTAGAACTTAGATTCTGCGTTTTTTTTTTTTAACTCTATAACTTTCTACTCTCTTTGACTCATTCATTGTACAACAATTTTTTTTGGTTGAATACAATTTTACATTCTTTCAAAATCTATATATAAAAAAATTGTTAGACATAAACATCAAATTTGTAAGGAATTATGAATATTATTGTTATGAACAAGAAAAACAATTAAATGTATATTTTGGATAGGGCAGGGGCGGAGGTATATTGTTATTATGGGGGTCAATTGACCCTTATTTGTAGAAAATTTTAATTTACTTGTAATATTCTAAGTAAAATTCAGGAAAATGGTTTAAAATATGCTTATTGACTCCTATAAAATATTGTTCAAAACAGATTTTTAGTTTTACTATAAAAATTGACCCCTACCAAGACAATGGCTGCCTCCGCCACTGGGATAGGGTATGGATGCATGAATCCAAAATTTATAATGTGCTTACTTAAATTTGTAGTCGCATGTATCTTTGTAACAATTTGTTCCCGTAAGAACCTCCGACTATCTGAACACTCACGACGGATATTGAGTTTACAAAATTACAAATAACATATGTAGCTCTCTAGCTAGGATTTATTAAGGAAAGTCAAGTCCTACTAATTAAATATGTTAAATGTTTTAAAAAATAAACTATTCCCTACGAATTCTCATTAAAAAAATTCTTAAGTTTGATGAAAACAAAAATCAGTAAGAAACAACATAAAACTCTAATAAATAATTTTCCCTTGTATAGATAAAAAAGATGACGACTCAATAGTTAATTATGGCAGTGGTTTAAGAATAATCATGTTCTGATGTTCACTATCAATTTATAGTGTTCCGTGATTGAAGGGCTTTCTAAGTGATACAAATTTGAAAGACTTGATCAACGCCTAAATTCTGTATTTTCAGAATTCAAATATGAAATCGATAATTACTCTGATTGATTGATATGTTTACTGTTTACCACCGAATATTTTTCTTCTTCTAAGACTTTAATTTGACCGCCACAGATAATAATTCAAATCAAATGATACAAGTTCGATGCATCCAAACAAAATTCATATAATAGACAAAAATTCAAACATAGATGGTAAAACTACAGAACAAAAGACCAAATGATTACCTTAAGACAATGGTTTTAAGTAACTAGTAGTGTCCGCAAACCACACAAAATAATGAAAGAAAAAATGACTATGATTTTTTTGTTTGTATAGAAAATGAGTATGATTTTAAACGAATCAATTCAAGTTATTGTAGTCTTAATCAATTGGATATATATACGAAACTTGAAACAATTTAAAGTCCTGGACCAAAAATAAAAACGAAACAATTTTTTTTAGAAAACTGACGATTAATATGAGTAAGCCGAATCCAAACAAAAATTGTAATACATATCAAACCGACAATTACAAAACTTGGTTTTATTTCTGTTTACTTATCAAAACCCCAAATGTAAACACAAAAGCCAAAATTCAAATAAACCATCATATAACATAAACAATAGATATATAGATATATCATATATAGTTTGTTGATGCAAATGAGTTATCATATGCTTATGGTCATGCTTGGCTCCTTGTACGCCACCGGCAGCCGATTTTATAACAAAATCGGTATCCACTCGTGGCATACAGGGAGCCAGGCATAACGACGACAAACTATTATATGTATATGAAAGCTCTAAACATGGACCTTGGACATCTTTATACGTGGATCTTGGCTTGAATCGAATCAGAACCTTTGTTATTACTGTTGGGAAGAGAAGATGAAGTAGTTAGAAAGAAATGTTGAAGAGTTTTGGTTGAAGAGGAATGTGTGGTACAAATATATAAAGGAGAAAGAGAGAAGAGAACTAATTATGTTCTTGCTAAAAAAAATTATTCAAAAGCATGACCATGACCAAAGTTAGGTTTCAATTTTTGAAAGTTTTTAATATGAAGATAGATGAATAAAATAGTTAACAAAAGTACCCATTTATTCACTTTCCTTAAAGGTTCCTCTTTATTCCACATTCTTTTATTTATTTATTGAGAACTAAATCATGCAAAAAATTTTGTTTTTTAAAGCACATAACAGAAAAAAGACAATGATGATGCATATTGTAATATTTTTCTTCATAATGAAAATTCTAAGATATTATAAACTCCAATATATAATTGTACATTGTTATTGTAAGATGGAATTAAAATAAGGGTTCTTCTTGTTAAAGGTAATAACGATTACACAGCGTGCAAACCTGCTGAGTTGCTTTTAATGAAATAGTTATATTGGAGAATTTTATAAGTGTTACAAAAATCAAACTCTTGAATATTGAATGGAGCTCATAAGTCATTCAATCACTACCATAAAGTAATGGAATAGTTTGGTGTAGTGGAATGGTTTGGAGTAGTGGAATGGTTTGGAGTAGTGGAATAGTTGAGTCCGAGGCTGGTTTGCCACTAATTGGAGAAAATGAATCCGGCATGCCATTTTGTGATCTGAATGCCACTGTAAATGTGATATTCCCAAATTACCCTTAATAAAATAAGAGACGATTGGTACAACTAAGAGATAATAGTACAACTGGTTTAATTAAGAGATAATATGAAAACTGATACAAATAGTATAACTGTGAGATAATTGGACAACTGGTACAAATGGTATTACTAAAAGATAATAGTACAATTGATACAATTGGTATAACTGACATATAAATAGGTACAACTGGTACAAATAGTTAGGTACAATGGTACAAATAGTT